CCCCAAAACCCCAAAACCCCAAAACCCCAAAACCCCATATGGGAGATTTCTGATCGAAGAACGATATTATATATTTTCTTTTAAGATGGGTATTTTGCTATGGATCGGCATTTTCTTTGTTCAAAGTGTGATTTGAGGTATCTGAAATAACCAACCTCAGGATTTTACAGGTAAATAGTTTTAGAAATATTTTTTCAGAAGTATATTGTTGGTATCAAAAGAAATTTGTTTCATATATTATCAATTATTGCCTAATCTGATCTTTCTTTAGTCGAATCTTATTCCTATTCTAACTATGATGCAACAAGATTCACCAGAGCCATCATGGGAGACCAAGGCAGCCTCTATTACTTCGGCAAACTCACCACTGGAACCAGCGAACACGCATTGGTTGTGAAGTACGACTCTTCAGGCGCGCTAGTATTCCAGAAAGTAACTGAGACTGTGCCGATACCGCAAGGATTCGAAGTAAGCATGAACGAAACATTTTTGTTTGCTCTGCTCGGAATATCAGGAAGTCCAGGAGGAATTGTTGTTCAGTATTCAGGAACAACTGGAGCTATAAATTATGGAACTTACTTGTCAATTACACCAACTGCAGATTCGATTATTAAGGCAGATAATAATGCAGAGATTATTTTATTCACAGAACCTTCTACTTCTCCATTGATTTATAAGATTTGCCCAAAATTAGCAGCAAAGGATTGAACTTCTTTTGCACTAAAAATTACTCCTAGTGGGATGGCTGGGATTCCACAAATCGCATTTGCTGAAAAGACTTATTATGGATATTGATACTATACGGCTGTTGGAAATACTCAACCCTCTGATTTGTATATCACAAGATTACAAAATGACAACAGCATTAATCTAACAACAAAAATAACATGCCCTGCTACTTCTTGAGATTACACTTATTCAGATCTCATATTTGATGAAACTAGCACGATTGTTCATGCTGTTGTGCAGTTCCATTCCAAAGTGCTGCTCTTTAAGTTCCAAGAAACCACAGCAGTCCAGGATGGTATTTTGTATGCCACAGACAATAGTTTCACATGCTCAGGCCCAGTGTCGATTGCTCAGAGCGGAACCAGCATTGTGATCTCGGCCACATGAACATCAATGTATCTCACAATATTCAACACAGATACGAGTTCATTCTCCACAACCCTCAAAGTGGTTGACACCTCATTGACACTGTTCAACGCTTTCGTGAACTCTAGCTATTTGAAAATAGTTGGGCACTGGAGTCCAAATGGAGAACACGGCTACATCGGAGGGTACAAGACTGGTAACACGACTGTGAACAGTCAGTTTGAATCAGTTTCGAGTATTTTTGTGGCAAACTCAAGTTACTCGGTGGTGTCGACTACATTGATATGTAGGTTTCATTTCAAATAAATCTTCATAATTTACATTAGAGTTAAACGAATTTTCCTCATATTTTATATAGCTGTGCCTACATCAGCCACCAATATTTTTGATTTACCAATCACAAATAAAGATGAAACATCAGTCTACGATAAAATAGCTCTGGTACTTCATGATTTAACATGCTCTAGAACACAGCTTCAGTAGATGCTCAAAAAGTCAGCCCTGGTGACTCAGTCAGTGCTGCCTCATCATGCTCTATTGTGCAAGGAACAGGCCTCACATGCAGCTTGGGACCATATCTCGGCCAGGCTGTGCCTTCCTGGGTGACTCTTGAGCCTGCTGGAGATTCTTGAAAAATTTCCGAATCTGCTCCATCATCGGAATCACCAGCCCAGTTTGCTATCGACTGCGTGTTTGGAACTCTGACGTTGCAAACTCCGGTATCCCTTACATTTAGCTCCAGCAGTTCTGGCTCAGAGTCTGAGTGTTCAGTCTCAAACTGCAAAGCTTGCTCTACAGGCTCTTCAGACTTGTGACAAACTTGAGATGATGGCTACAATTTAATATCCAAGGGAACAGGCTGAGCATCAGCACAAGTCCAGACGACCGTGACTGCAAGCTCAGCTACTTTGGCAACAGGATTTGCAGCAAGCATGACATCACCACAAGGGGCATGGAGCATGGTGAACCAGATTCAAGTGCTGATGTTGATGCCGTTGACTGAGTGCTATTTCCCAGCTGATGTTATTAGTTTCTTGACTGGAATGGACTTTGCCTTACTTTCATTAGATTTTATTCCTTTTCCATCAATCCCAGGAATCAAAGAAACCCTTGGGTATGTTGATCACGATCAAACTGACGATTATTTTTACGGTTAGCAATGACGTAATTTTTAGAAATGCAAATTAAATCTGGAAGCACTTTTATCAACAGCTTCTCATTCATCTGAATCATCGGTTTCATATCCATATTCCACTTGTGCTTGTACATCATCAAGAGTAAGTGGCTCAGAGTCTCTTTGTGTTGATAGTTGCTTTAGAAGATGTGGAGCTCAAAGTTCCTGTAGAAGAACAAGGGTGGAAAGCGAAGGCTGTGCTCTGGCTCTTCGACTTGCTCACTCTAAACATTTACATTCGGTTATTCATGGAAGTATTCTTGCTGATGATATTGTCAAGTCTTAGGGAACTCTACTTTGTGTACAGACTCAGTTCATCCAACGAGTTCATTTCATATTTCTTGAATGTGCCCATTGCATTTGTTTGGGGTACATTTGTAGCTGTTTGAATTTGGCAATGGAAAAAATCCAAAAGTCCTCTCAGATTCGCGAGACAATATTATTTTGTGGAGTTCTTCCAAGGAGTCAGAAACACCTGGAAAGCAAGAGTCTACTCAACCTTGTTCTTAACCAAGCGACTCACTCTGGTAGCTTTAGTGACTCTGGGGGAAGTCTTTCCGATGCTGGCCAAAGTCATCATATTCATCATGATCCAGTTGTCTTGATGTATCACTATTGTCATCCTAAGACCCTTCGAAGCTGCCAGAGACAACATCATTGAGATTGTGAACGAAGTATTATTCCTAGTCTGATCATCTCTGATGGTTCACTTCAACACAAAAGGAAGATGGAAGGGTTGGCATGAAAAAGCGTACATTAACTTGATACTATCGAATATTTGTTTGATTACATTGATTTCAATAAGTACTTTCTTTCTTGATAATTTTAGTTTTCTTGCTTAAAGATATTTTTGTTTGGATAAAGAAAAGTCTACGGAAAAAGAGTGTAGTCCCAAAGCCCATCAAAACAACTTTTCATAACTATCCAACTCCACCAAACAATAATGTACTTTTTCTTGTCATTTTAAGGGGGTCAAGATATCCAAAAAGGATTCATGGGTTGGTAAAAGTAAACTGGAAAGCCAAGTTAGGTAAATTATACCTAACTTTATAGTTCAAAATCAATGCAAGATAGATACAAAGAAGCTATCTCAAAAGAAAGAGAAGACTTCATGGCAAAAAGAAACAAATACGGAGCTGCTAGGAAATAGTCTAGGAGCGTCTAAACATTGAGCCTTTAACGTATAAAACCTCTAAAAATATCCTAATTTTCTGAATTAAAACCTCACAATACAATTTAACTTTCTTAAAGTATCTTGTTCAGATCTGAAAAATAATTAATTTGACTAAATTCTATTCTATTCCATGTTATCCAATCTAAATGTAGTCAATAGGGGTTTTGGGGTTTTGGGGTTTTGGGG